TCAGTAGCCGCGCCGAGAGGAGCCGAGGGTCCCTCGTTGTCCGAGTCGTAAGTTGCAGATGTATCGTGAGCAGATGGGGAAGACGGTGTTTCAATGGGCCGAACGAGTGGCCGTTCCTCGGGCTCTCTGAGCTTCTTGTCGCGCACACTGCCAAATGACGGCAACGCTGGACGGGGTTTCATGACTTCGTCATCATCCAAGGAAATCGCATCCTTCTTTCGATTTCGACCCAAGTGGCTGTACCAGTGTCTCTTCGTCTGGGGACTAGGAGGGACGGGCGAGTCAAACTCCGGTTTGGCAGCAGACTGTCCTACGACCTTGGTGTTTTCGTCGTCAAAGCTGACACGTACGCTCTTCTTGCGTGCTACTTGACCCTCAATGGCCGTGACCTCACTGCCATACCGACTAGGACCTGAAGCTTCGGAGCTCTCGTCCGTCGGCGAAGCTCCCCGGGAAGGACTAGCTGAGTGCTTCAAGGCGGATTTCCGAGGTGAGACTGATCTTGCGGGAGGCTCATGCCTGATGAGTAGTTGATCTGCTCCCAATGCAAAGCGCGCTGATCTTGCTGGACTGCTGGAGTGAGCCCGGGCATTTCTGACGCTCCCGTGCTGCCTAAGCTCTGGTGGACTCGGCTGCCTCTGGGACGAGGAGACTTGAGACTCGACAACCGTGCTCTCAGAAGACAGAGATGGGTGCTTGGGAGGGCCGGAGGATCGGACGGGCACTGCGTCAAGGACATTAGCAACGTCTTGTTGCACTGCAGGTTGGTCATCTTCGTCTTCTGAGTTCAGCAGGTCCTCATCTGATTCTTCCTGGACCGTTGATGGCTTTCTTGCTAAGAGAGGGACACCTTGCCGCGGCTCAGAACGCGGAAGATTGGTGGCGCCGTCACTCATTCGCGCCGGCTGTTCGAGTTCTACTTCTGGGGCCGCTTGAGTGGTCTCAGGGCTGGCAGTCGCTTGTTGTTGGCTGCGAGTCTCAGGTGCTGACCCATTTGGCGGAGAATGAGATCCGTCCATTGGTGCTTTCTCGTCTACAAGTGATGGCGCTGGGTTTGGCTGCACTGTCTCACTAGCCGGGAGCTGGTTTTGTGACGCCTTTGGCTCAGGAGTGGTCGCCTGAGCTCGAGCTTGAGGTTGTTCGCGCTGCCTCGTGGCAGGCTCCTCGCTTTCCACTGCAACACCGTGAGTTCTACTCATTGTACCTTTGGCGAGGTGGGAACCACTCCTAGCCATTCCTTGCTGTTGAGGTTTCTTCTTCTTAGGCGATTTCTCCGACGCGTCACGAACACTTTGCTCCTTGGCCAACAGATTCACGTTGGGCACCATCCTCCGCGAGTTGGGATCGTATACGAGTGGTTGTTCTGAGACGGATGATCGGGAGGCCACTGACTCTGTTCGGCGGGGCGAGGCAAGTCGCTGGCTACTTGTCATTCTAATGCTCTCGACGGCCGGCGATGGTGGGGGTGATGCGGCATGCAGCCCCCTCGGATAGGAAAAGTTGACAGAAGAAGTTGGGCTTACAGCTCCCGGTCGGGACTCTGGTGAAGCAACGCGCATCGGAGCGTCTGATGTCCTGACGTTGGCCAAATTCCCCTCCGTTGCGGCTCCAAACCACGAGCCACCCTCCTTTTGCTTCTGACTCGCAACACGAAACGGCTGCATCTGTAGGCTCGTCGACCTGGTGTGGGTCGACTTCCCGCCGTTTGACCGCATGTCGTCCGGAATGGTCGGCACCGGCGGCGCATCCTCCGCGGGCGCCGGGGTTCGGTGTGGTGACGGCGAGCGGAAAGTCCTCTCGCTCATAGAGCCCTGGCTAGGGGACCTATGCAGGCTTCGTCGGGTGTCCTGGCTGCCGTGCGACGACACGGATGTGCTGCGCTTTTGAGTCCGCTTCGTCTGAACTTCGGCGACGTTGACGGGTGTCGTGGGTCTTGCGCGGAGGGCGGCGGCGGCGGCGGCGGATGAGAGGGATGACGAGGATGCGCGACGCGCGAACGCTGATGCGGCTGCGGTGGCCGCACTGGGATTTGCTGTTGCGGCAGTCAATGGCTACGGGCCCGGGTTAGTTGAAATCAGATGCGACATCGCCGAGCGAGGATCCAGGGGTTGCGGCGCGGTCGTGATCCCAACAGCCGCATCGTGAAGGATCGCGGTCAAGACATCAAATAGAAGCAAGATTTGGCAGTGTGGTGACTTACCTGATTGGCTTGCCGGTGCCTCCTAGAACCGCCAAACATGTTTGCGTGTCTCTGGTTGTCGATCAACGGCGCAAGGCCTGTGATGGTTCGGTAACAGGTCGCATGGAATAAGGGTTGATGGAGTCAAATATGTGGGAAGAAAATGATTAAAAGAAGAACAAAAGAAGAAAGAACTCGGAGCGGGGGAAGGGTCGAGTAAGTGCGGGAAAACGGAGGCCGCGGTAGATTAGACCTGGTGATGTCGGGGAAAAGGTAGCTGGGGGTGGAAAGAGATGGTGGATAGGCTCTTCTGCAGGAGAGGAAAAGGATGGGATGGGAGGTGGATGGGATCCATGAAGTGGATGGGATGATGACGGAAGAGGTGAGTCGGGTTCAGCCACGATGGGGGCGCTGGCCAGTGCGCACACTAAGCAGTTTTTTTTCCTACAGTAATTTGTACCTACGGGGCTGCTTTCATTCCATTTTCATCCCCAGTCTTTTCCAGTGATTGCAGCGGCCCAGCCCAGCTGTGCAAGGTGCAGCAGCGGCAGCAACATCCAGAGCACTAGCGGCGGCGGACGCCTGGCATCTGCACCCACGGCCTGCCCAATGCACCTTACCGCGCTTCCTTTCTGGAGGCACCCTTGTCTCGCCTGAGCCGCCTTTCTGTTTTGGGACGACACCACGCCGGGTCTGGCCTGGCTCCACTGAATCGAGGGTGCCAATCCCACGGGCCATGCATTGCCTGCTCGCTGGCCATGTTGCTACTGCTGCGCAATTGTGACAGCTTCTCTGACCTGGCACCCTGTGTTTCGCAAAGATTGGCTGCTTTGAAGACAGACTTCCGGCCTAAGCTAGAGACAGGATGGCCTTGGTCTGCAATGCCGCATCTCAATGAGCCGTCTCTGGGCGGGAGCCTTTAGGGGGCCACGACAGCAGCAGATCGCGGGAAGCACAAACCATACACAACAATGAAGAGACCGCATCTGTAGAGCTGCGGTCGTCTGCACCTGTGTTCTCTGTCGTGTCTGCGTCCGTGATCCCTATAGCGGTTGTGGCATTCAGGTCAAAGTAACCTTAGGTAGCCACGAGCTGCGGGTGATGATCCAGCTCATTCTGAATCAAATCGGCCCTCACCCAACCCGCCCAGAGGGCCGCCGCCCATCACAGACAGAGTTCTGAGTGCCGAACTCGTGTGGAGTAGTTGATCGACGTCTCACAGAAACTTGGGGCTGCGGTGGACAGGACAGGGTTGTTTCAGGCCTGACTGACAGCGAAGCTTTCGTGCCTTTCCCCCACCCCTGGCCTGGCCATCCATCCATCCCATCCAGTTGAGCGAGAGACTTCGAGCAGGTGGTAGGTAGCAACGCGCAACACTTCCCGCGGCCGCAGCAGACGGCATACGCGGACCTCCAGGTGGGAGAAAGCTTGAGGAGCTCCCTGCCTGCGTCTGGACTCTAATGGAAATGCGTGGCAGAGGTCTGTATCAGGGCCCATCACACGACAAACACACCACCATCCAACTCAACTTGTCACCGCAGCTCCGGATGGGTCCCTCCGGAAAGACAGCCCGAAGAAACGTACTGGCGAACACTGGCAAACACTCGACTCCAAGGTCTATGCATGCTCCGCCAACCGCACTGATCGGCGGCGAGGAAGACGGGAATGGGAATGACCTGCCAGCTACCTACCTGCGCTGGCTTCCACGTCCTCCGAAAGACCTCCATTCCTGGTGCAGACGCAGTAGCTGGTCGGAGACTACGGTAGCGCAGCCTCCGGTCCTCCGCTGTGCCCCTCCGGTCGGACAAGTCATTTCAACACGATCATTTCTGAAAGAAACCGTCTTTTTAATCGCGGTTCCATCTCTGATCTCAAACGCAAGGTCATGGAGCCTCCGGGACGCCCGCCGTTACTAGAATCGATGCTAAACTCTGTTCGATCGTTGAATAACAACAAGATATGCAAGCCACGAAGCAGCTTTGTCGTGTGGGATTGGACGATGAATTGGCGATGAGGACGGGATTACGGTCCTGCCGAGGCGGAAGAGGCCGAGGGGTCAGTCTCCCGTCCCGCTTATGAATAAGGTCGAAAGAGCCCAGACCAGCCACAAGTCAGTGCCCCAGTCAATTACGTCATGCCTCTTCTCGGAGCTCCCTTCGCTGGCGCCTGCTCTATTATCTACTTGCGGATGGCGATGGACAGCGTGAGAATCAGCAATGCAGACGACGACTAAGGTGAACAGAGAAGAACAAGTTTCACTGTTTTGATCGGGTTATCAGAGTGTGGTGGATTCTGCTAGCTAATGCTGTGTTGGTCTTCATAGCACCCTAACAATCATCTTGATGAAACTCTCTCGTAACCTCCTACTGAGCGTTACCCATCTAGATTCCTTCACAGAATAATCTGTACATCTCATGCCCAGGCCCAAACGAGTTCCCAAGATCATCTCTCTGCATACTCCCAACACCCCAGAAAGAGTGTCTTGGACCTCGTCTGGCATCTCTAATGTGTACTTGCGCCACTTCTGCAGTTGTCAGAGTGCGCAACGACGTCTGGCTTTTTTTGTTGTTTTGGATTTCGAAAAGAGAGTCTTGTTGCTGTCGGCAGTTTGTTTGGTATGTTAACCATGTCGCTTGCTTTATTCTCGAGGTAAGGGCTGGACCGATATCCAAGTCAACGACCGAAATAGAGTTGCCAGTGTTCTGCCGAGCTGGTGCGCAAGAAATGCCGCCGTAGTTAATGCAAAATGTAAGAAGCAGAGGAGAGAGCCAGCTCCAGGGCTGAGCTTCTCAGGTATCCAGAATCCACACTATGGATAAGCTTATGATGGTGAATATGAATCGTTGCCGAGTTCATCACCAGGTTCGTCTCCGGGTTCATGTTCGTCGCCGGGATCGTCCAAATCCTCAAACGCTCCATGACAGTCGTTGCAATCGGGATCGCGACATGGGTCATCCGGATCATCGCTTAGTAGCATCGGTGGATCGTCTTGAGAGTATGAGTCATCGAAATTATCTCCCTCAATATCCTCAATGTATTCGTCGGTGGTGAAGCCAGGATTGGTTGTGTGTCCCGCCGGCGCATCAGCTGAGCCGGCCTGCTGCTGGCTCTGAGGCGATGCCGTCTTACCGAGGGATTTAGTTGCTTTCTTGGCCTTTCGGCTCTTGGCCTTGGCCTTCTCCAGCAGCCGCTTCCGCTCCGCCTCTTTTCTGCGAGCTTTCTGGTCCTTGATCTCATATTGCTTGATCAGGGCGTAAGGCGGCTCGCCAAAGATGCGCTCGTACTCGCAGAATTCGCAAATCCACATATCCTCCGGCTTGGGCGGGTTGTTGATGTACCGGTATTCAGCTTCTTGACGGCGGTGCTTGGCTGCCAACCTAAGCTCCTTCTCTTGGCGGCGACGGCTCTTCTTCTTCTTGCCAGACTGCGCGCCTCCCTTGCCGGCTGGTGCCGGCGCAGGAGGTGCAGCGATCGAGCTCGCGGCATCTAGCGTCTGGGTCGCCATTGAAGCTTGCCTGAATTTATTGCCGTAACCTGGAAGCGAGCCGTGTGAACCTAATGGATCAGTTCCTGGCCACTGTGGCTTGGGAACTGGAGAGTCGCAGGTGAAGGTGAACTGCGTGGCAGTCGGGCTGGATTTGACGCTAGATGAATGCTGCTGTAAAAGACTGACGTTCTCTTGACCGGGTGTGGATGGGAGCTTCTCGGCGTTTGCGATGGCGCTCGAAATGATACCAGGATTTTTGCCTTGGGGAACGATTGTCAGCAATTTGTTTGCGAGTGTGTGGGATGCGGAAGAGAAATTTCTGAAAAGGGCAGAGATGGAGGGTGGTAGGTGTGTGCCTTCCGTTTGTCGTGCTGGGTGCTTGCATTTGAGCGAGACAGAGATCTCAAGCTGGAGGTAGCCGTGATATTCAAACTCCATGCCTCTCAAAGAACTGTCCCGCATGATGTGCAAGACCCCGCCAGAGCTTGCATGCATCTCCTTTGACAGACCGCCAGCTCTTCGCAGCAGCAGCAGAAGACACACAGCAAAACAGCATGGTGAACAGGAGCTAAGACTTACTTGAAGTTGCCCATTGAGGCGGCCGGTACTTCGGCCCTCTTCCCACCCAACTATTCGGTGCGTCGGACAGAGTTCCCAGCGGACTTCTACCATTTCTTGATCGACCAAATCTGCCCCTCCCCGGCCCAGATATACCTTGGTTGTTTGTGACGAAGTTTCCGGCCCTATAGTATGATGGCGATGCTGACCCTCCTAGCTCGCTGTGCTCGTTGGAGGGGGATGTTGCTGCCGAAATGCTCATGGAGCCAATGTCAGCTAGCGAGTGCGTGCCGGAGAGCGCAGAATCCCCCGCCGTTGGTATCTTTCTTTTCTTCTTGTTGTTTGTGTTTTCGAACGACTCGTATCCGTCGGCAGACGATGCCGTAGACGGTGGGGGCTGGGGATTTGAATGTTTTGACTGCTCGAGTTTCGGAGGCAGGGCCGAAGCGCGATTGAGGATGTCTGGCTGTGAACGACGAACAATCTTGCTGCTGTTCAACGCCATGTCTTCCTCATCGCTCTCCCCGTTCCCCGCATGAACCTTTGGGCTAATCTCATAGCCTAGACTACTCCTGCCCATACCGTTCAAGCCCCCTGACCTAGACGGAACTTCATCTCGTGGAATACTGGGGTAGTAAAAGAGAGGACTAGAGTTCTGGTTCGCCGGAGGGTACTCGATGGAGTCGGCGACATCAGGCGACAGGCGTTCGCGTAGTCGGCGCTTCGGGAGGGGACGAATCGGCCTCTGGGGAAAGAGGGAGGAGACGCTTTCGGGAGACATTGTTCGATTATGACCTGTGGCAATGATCGAGCGTGAGATTAGCATATGCTCTTGTCGGGTGATGAAGCCTAGAGCAGCAAGCTCTAGACCAAGGCCTCGTCGACGCATCACAGCCAGCTCCCAAAGCACCAGAACAGACGTCAACGCTTATGATGCCTGACGGAGACTGAGCCCTGGCGCAGGGCATGGGCGCTGGTGGGGATGGGAAGTGGCAAGGGTATGGCGGAGGTTCGAGGGGAGCAAGGCGTACCCATAACACCTCATGCTACGAGCCATCCAAGAAAAACGCCGCACACAAGAGTATTCACGAAAGGGACGAAGGTTTGGGTTCGCGAAGAAGTTGGGGCAGTGTCGCCAGAACGATTACAGACGGCGGTCGGGTTGGGTGAGGTGAGGATCGGGGGTGGAGGATTCGAATTATAGGCGGAAGGACGAGCTCGTAACCCTTGATTCCTGAGTTTGCCCAACCATCAGCAAATGTCCGCAACAGTGATCAGGTCCCATGCCCCGCCAAGCAAACAATGTCCAGCAAACGCAGCAGAAGCAGTTTCGACAAGTCTCGCTTCTCTCGGTCAAGTCAAAGGAGTGCGGCGCAAAAAAGAGCCTCAAGTTTGGGCACAAAGTGCGGGCGGAGCTCGCAGACTCGAGAGGGGAGCGGGCATACCAACTCGGTCCACCAGAAATCGGCTGGGGTTGCTCCGAAGGCGCCTTTGGAGCAGGCAAGAGCTCGAGAAGGCAGAGAACGCAGTCGAACAGACAGGGTGATGGCGTTGCAAGGGCGGCAGCAAAGCAACAGCAAGCACTCGGAGGATTGCGAAAGAGCCAATGTTGTATAAACCCCAGCTTTGATTGCTGATGACAACTTTTGATAATGTCTGGTGTGTGATTAGGAGACGTAGGTAGGTTAACCAGGGCCATTGCTCGAAACGCATTAGATAAGCAGGCCAGGGCTCCGCTGCGGACGGGGCGCCGGGGGCTGGGGCAAGCGCAGTCACAGCGGACGGGAATGAATGATGTGGTGGTCGGGTGGTGGTTGCGGTGGTGAATAGACGTGGAAGGTCGAGGATGAATCCTGGTCTTGGGGCGCTGTCTGTGGTGCGGGATGAGGGGGGACGCTGCATTGACGCACTGTGTGCTGTGCATCAGGTAGGTAATAGGTAGGCATGTTGTGCTGCATACTAATACTCGCAGCAGCTGGACTCGCTAAGGTAGAGCTCGCTACAGACGAGGGACGTTGTGCATAAAAGCAATTGATGTCAAGATTAGACGAGCACTGTCGAAGTGGGAAGAATAACGGACTGTGATGTAGCAGTGACGGGAGCTTCTGGGAGGCGGGGGGCTACATAACTGGATGGACAGGCGGAAATCGAATCGTGGATTGTGCTGTCCGTGTCGTCTTTCTCATTGTTTTTTTGGAGGGTCCTTCGGAAGAAAATCCCTGCCGTGGTGACAGCGGATGGAGACTGGAGGTCACCTACCGACCAGTCATGTTCTGAATACCGCAATTTAATCCGACACTCTGCCCTGGATACTGCTTGATTTGTGGGAAATGCACAGTGCCGTTGGAAGTCTCAAGTGCCTCGCCCTACGTCCTGGTCTGCACTTTAGGCAATCGAGCTCCCTGAGTTTTTCCGACAGATGCATAACTGACAGACTTTACCCACGTTATCCATCCGTTATGCTCTACTTATGCAGCACAACTGCACCAACCAGAGGCCCAGCCCCGCAAAGCTGCCTTTTCCCTGTGGCTCGGAGGGCAGCAGCTCCTGCAGGCCAGAGCGAAAGAGGCGGCGCACCCACCGTACCGCACTTTGCAACCCCGAAGCGTGCTCCCAGTCGCCTACCCATTTCCTTCGCCCAGAGAGCCAGAACCAGAACCAGTCTTCCAGGGCGCACTCTTTTCTCTCGTCTTCCCACTCCGCACTCCGGCCTCTCTTTTCCCGACCCGTCACGACATGATTTTACATTGTCCTCAACTGTTAGACATGCGAACTGTTCAATCCCCGAAAAAGTCTTGCTGGAGTACCCGAGTCCTCCCTTCTCAGTAGCCTGACCTACCTGCGAGTCGCGAACCAAACCATTTCTTCCACTCTCGCTCGATCGACTGCCCTCCCACCCGAACCACCACAACAACCCACCCGCTCTCTGCCCACTCGCTCCTCTCTCTCCTCCTTACCTCGACACCTCAATTCTCTCCTGCGTGCCTTGCCTTGGACATTGCGACAACCGCCTCTCATCTGTCAACCTCCTGCCGACCTCCCTCCCTCCCTCCTCCGAATCCCTCCCCCGTTCGTTTCTCCTCCCCTCCGCCTTCCCGCCGCGCTGCCTCAATGGCACCCCCCTCGCCTCGACGATCTTCACGAGCCCGAGGCAATACAGTCTCTCAATCACAACAGTCGTCGACTACGTCGAGTCTCTCTAGCCGCGGCGAGAGGAATACAAGATCTCTCAACAAGACCTCTTCCGCAAAATCCACACCAAGCGCCTCGCTCTCCTCAGAGCCCCCCGAGGACCTCGAGGACGCACTTCCCTCACGACGTCGGACCCGCGCCCAAGAGGACGCCCGAGACAAGTCTCGTATTGATCCCTACGACATGGCTACCGGAAGCGACGACGTCCAGGAGGACGACGAGTCGGTGCGCTGCGTCTGCGGCTTCGATGAATACCCGGGTCCTCCGCCCTTCGAGGAGGACTCCAAGCACGGAAAGCACAACCCGGAGGCAGACTTCTTCGCTAGCATCGAGCTGTCAGACGAGGTCTCTGGTTTGTTCGTCCAGTGCGATGTGTGCAAGGTCTGGCAACATGGTGCCTGCGTCGGTATTTTCACCGAAGAGAGCTCTCCCGACGAGTACTTCTGCGAGAAGTGTCGGAATGACCTACACAAGATTCACACTGCAAGCAATGGGTTAGTTTTCCAGATGACCTTCCCACACTGAACAGTGCTCTCTCTGCTGGTGTGATTGACAGTCCTGCGTGGGCCGCGTCACTGGCCCTGAGAGATCCTCTGGCAGCCCAGCCATTTCACCCGTCTTGTAGCATACTAATGTCGTACCGTACAGACAACGCTACTCAAATTACCTTCCACTCAACCGTCCATCGCGCGCGACGTCCCGAGCTGCTTCCCTTGTCAAAGACGGCACCCGCTCACCCAAGGAGACGAGCAAAAATGGCCGAGCCTCGTCAGCAACACAAGCTCAAAAGCGAAGATCGACCATGAACAGTCGGGACGCTGCATACGACGAGGATGAACAGTTACGAAGAGCCATCGAGGCCAGCAAAGAAGAGGCTGTTCCTGACCAGCCGGAAACGCGCCGACCGAAGCGTGGCCGCAGCGGCAGTGAGGAGTAAGTGCTCAATTGGGTCGTTGTTTGGCGTCTCCTAACGGTTTTAGAAATCTCGCAAGTCTGAAGAGGCAACGAACAAGCTCTCCTTCAATGTCGCCGCCCCCCGAAAAAACACAAGCAATTGAAGACGAGTCAGAGGAGGAATCAATCACTCGTAACGGACAGAAGAAGGCTCGCGGCGCCCGCAATCAGCGAGAGAGATCGGAGCGTGAAGAGCGCGACCGTCAACGTGCTGAGGCCGCCAAAAGCAGAAAGGGTCGTGCGGATCGCAGAAGGGCGGAGGGTACTACTACCACTACCACTGCGGGTGTCGTCAAGGAGCCTGAAGCTCATGTGGCCACAGATTCAGATCCGTCGGAAGAAGTCCCTCTGGCGTCCGCAAAACCTATTGTGAAGCTAACAACGGAGCCTCCTGCCCCGGTTGAAGCGCCTCCGTCGTCTGCGCCGACCCCCGATACCCCGCCGGCGAACCCGGCACCCACTGGCAGCACGCACAAGAAGTCGAGTCGCAACAACCAGAAACGTGGCAAGGGCCGAAACCAGTATACGAAGGATCGAGACGGACATGAAGATACGCCTGCGCGTTCGATGTCCAGAGACATTGCGCGGAATCACGACGACCATACTGGCGCTGGAATCAGCAAACACGCTGGCGCGGACCAGTCTAAGCATCATGGAGCTAAGCACAAGGCCCACAGCACCCAGAGCAAGGTGTCTATGAACGAGATGAAGCGAAGAGTGACAGCTTTTCTCGACTTCATCTCCAAGACGCAAGTGGAGCTGGCGGGAGAAGCGCTACCAGGGTCACGAAGCAGCCAAAACAGCTCTCAGCAACACAGTCCGCGCGCGACAACCGCGCCAGAAGCACCAAAAATCAGCGTCAACGGCGCTGCAAGCACAGAAGCAAAGGACTCCGCTGTCGCGAACGGGTCGTCCAGCGGAAACGATTCCGAGTCTAAGGAGTTTAAGGCTTTAAACTGTGTGGAAATGATGGACGTTCTAACCCGGGACCTACTTCGTTGGCAAAAGCAGTATGCGCCTTGACGAGTAGCCTCTGGGTTTCTGGCGTTTGTTTCCCTGTTCTCTATATATGCGAGCCATTGCTCGAAAGCGACACAGTGGCTGCGGTTGGTTTCGGCGTATGATACCAGAGATTATCCGACGGTGGCATCCGACGGCAAACATGTTTTTTTTGTTTTTATTTTTTGGTTGTTTGGGTTTATTACTTCTGGCGTTAAGGTCCCTGGGATGGCGAGAGTGATCGGAGCATAGGGTTTTCAAAATGGCCATTATTGCTACAGAATTGAGTGTACGTACTAGTTACGGGTTATTGAGTTTGGTTGTGACTGGTGGGCCTGAGGATGAATGTCGGATACTCAGACAGATGCGAATGTTCGATGGGTATGAGTGACGGCTTCGCGCTGTGTCAGGCCTATATCTAGCGACGTTTCGACATGAACTTGGCGCATCTTCTAATGTACACATTATTCTCATTTATCCTCGTTTCATTTTTCCATGTATGATATACAGAGTGCGGGGTATCTCTATAGGTCGTCGTCGTCCTCCTCTTCAAAATTTACTCTCCTTGAATCTTACACGGCTTTGGTTTTGTTGAGTGCTCTGTCCTTCCTGGCCTCTTTCTCCCGCTTGCGCGCCTGGCTCATGCTCACGGGGCCTTGTCCGGCCTTTTCTAACTCCTTCTCCCTGAAAGCCTCGTCGTTGACATCGTCCAAAACGACCTTGCCCAGTTGGCCAACTCTCCATTGCTTGACTATCCAATCTGCCGCACTCTCCGCATTCGCCTCTCCGCCGCTCTTCAACTTGCCCGTCTTGCTTGCTACCCCTCGTAGAAAGTCGTTGACTTCGTTCGTTGGATCGCTGTATTTCGCGTACACACTGGGGTCGGCGAGGTTCATCCGGTAAAGGAGGTAATCCGCAAGAATCACCATCGGGATGCGGTCGTCCTTCACGGATCCGACCAGCGCAAGCTTGACCATGCTCTCGGCCTCGGACACGTACGGCATGAAGACTCCGGGCGTGTCGAGGACGAACACGCCCTCGCCGAGCCCCGCGCCGCCGTCCTTCTCGGAGTCGAGGATGCGCACGGGGGAGGACAGCTTGCGCGTCACGCCGGGCTGCGCGCCGACCCTTGCGACGGACGGCTTCTTCTGCATGCCGTGCTTGCGCAGCTTGTTCAGCAGGGTGCTCTTGCCGACGTTGGGCATGCCGACGACGAGCGCGCGCACGCCCGTCAGGCTGTCGATGCCCTGCGCGACATGGCGGATCTCGCTCAGTAGGGTCTTTGTGCTCGTGCCGTCGTCCTTGCGCCAGAAGACGGCGCGCTGCGGGGTGCCGCCGGCCGCGGTCTGGCCGCGGTGGAAGCGGCGCAGCGCCTGCTCGATCTCGCGGGGGCTGTCGGTGCCGAGGTCGCGGTGGGTGTAGACGACGATGCGCTCGCGGCCGGCGATGGCGCGGTCGAGGATCGGGTTCCAGGAGGTGATGGGGACGCGGTAGTCGCGGCACTCGAGGACTAGGCCGACCTCGCTGAGGCGGGAGGAGATGTCGCGGAGGGCGGCGTGGTGGTGGCCGAGGTAGTAGGAGCGGGGGATGGAGTCGGAGACGTCGAAGCGGGTGCGGGGCGAGAAGGCGCCGGTCGCGGCGGCGGCGGCGACGGTGGTGGTGCTCCGGCGAGCGAGGGTCGGGAGCATCTTGGGAGAGGTTTGTCGGTGCGCCGGGGTTGGGCGCGATGGCCTGTGATTGAGTGGATCTAGCGCGGGTGAGTAATCATTGTCCTTCTGCGACTCAAATTCATGAGCGGTCCCTTTTTTTTGGTTCGGGAGTGAGTTGGGCGTTGATGGAGCTGTTCGCTTTTCTCTTCCCCTTGAAGCGCAGGGTGGGAAATTTGGTCGCAAATTTCTTTTCAGCCTGACAGCGCACCGGTCGCGCAGCCTCATCGAATGCGCCACAATTGATTGGCCGGCGGGGGTGTAAAGGTTGGAGGGGCACTGAAGCTGGGCCCCTGCACCCTGCGACGGTGACGTCAGGGACGCCGTGCCGGATCCGAGAGCTTCGGAGGAACCAGTCTCCACCTGTGCCAAGGCTTGGCCAATGAGGGTTGAGAATCCACGTGGGGGACGGGCGGCGTTCGATTTGTTGCAGAGCGCTTGAATTGAAGCCGTTTTTTTGAGTTTTGTCGCTTGTTGGGCACTGATCAAGGGCCTGCCTTGGACGCCCTGGATGTTTCGAGACTATGGAAAAGTATGCCGCGCAACCGATGAGTGAAAAAGCGGTGTTTCTTGGTTCGTGACTTGCCGCGGGGCGTTTGGGGCTAAAGATAGACGCGTGTTGAGTTCTTCAAAAATACCTTCTATCTTTCCTCTTTGCCTAATGACTCGACTTGACATGTCGTCACTTGCTTTTGCTGTCATCTGTTGAACGCCTGCTGCTGTTCATTTCTGGAGGTGACAGCCTGGAGTTGCGGTGAACACCACCATCTTCAGCACCCCCAACTCCTCCACGATGGGTCCCGAAGGTGATCGTCGGGCGTCAGCCACAGCACGGCAGACCAACGACGACGACGCCATCACGCCAGTTCCGGAGTTGCAAACACAGGCTCCTTCAGAGAGAACGATTTCTCCCGCGAACCGAGAGCTGTCACCCGAAGTCGCCTCCGTTCGCCAAGAGGAGCGTTCCCCGAGCAGATGGCGAGGATACTTTGCCAAGAGCGGGAAGCTCAGACCGTTCAGACTGCTGAAGGAGGACTCTCTCAACTTCAGACTGCGATACATATCAGACTGGACTGTGTTCAACCAACTCGTGCTGGCCAGTGCGATCTACGTCTTCTTTACTAACATTTTGCCCGGCATCACCTTTGCCAGCGACTTGTACGTTCTGACTGGAGAGTCGTGGGGGACGATCGAGGTTGTGTTTAGCACAGGGCTCTGTGGGATCATCTTTGCTCTGTAAGTTGGCGGGAAAGCTTGTGACTGTTGTGATACTAATACGTCCTCAGATTCTCGGCCCAGCCGTTGACTATCCTCGGTGTCACTGGTCCATTTTCGGTTCTGGCAGAGAATATCTACTCGCTATGCGAGAACTCTTTCAAGGTAGCGTCCATTCCTCGACGCGGTCATTTTGACCCGTCATTCTTATTCCAAGTGTATGGCTGCGACTGACATTCCCAGATCCCCTTTCTGCCCTTCATGGCCTGGTCCCTCATCCACTCCGGCTGGATGCACTACCTCCTCGCCATCTTCAACGCCCACGACTACACCATGCAGTACGTCACCGACTTTAGCGCCGATATCTTCTCCCTCCTAAACAGCGTAATTTACTTCCATAAGGCCGTCCGCGAGCTCGAGCGCACCAAAGCCGCGGTCTCGCTCGCGGCCTTTCTCTACTCCATCATCGGCGCAGTGGGCACCTGTCTCCTCGCCATCTTCCTCTCGACGGCGCCGTCGTGGAAGCCGCTGTTCCACAGGTACGTCCGCATGGGCCTCGCGGAGTACGCCGCCGCCATCTCCATCGTCTTCTTCATCGGCATGCCCTACGTCGGCGACCTGGCGCACCTCGACCACAACAGGCTGGAGGTCTCCAAGACGTTCAGGCCGTCGTCGCCGAGCCGGGACGTCTTCTTTGTCGAGTTCTGGAAGCTCCCCATCGGCTGGATCTTCATCGCCATCATCCCGGGCATCATCATCACGGTGCTGTTCTACTTTGACCACGAGATCAGCAGCATCATCTGCACGGCGAAGAGGTACGGCATCCAGAAGCCTGGGGGCTACGCGTGGGATATCATGCTTCTGGGCACGACGACGATTATGTGCGGTATTCTCGGGATCCCGCCAGCGAACGGACTCCTTCCTCAAGCACCGCTACACTCTGAATCTCTCATGCACACCGTCGTCGAAGATCCTCCCGCCCCGAACTCTGAGCCCGGCGAAGACCCCCCATTGAAACCCTTGATACGGGTCTACGAACAGAGATATTCGCCCCTCATCCAAGCGGCTGGCATCTTACTCTTCGTCTCACCGCCCTTTCAACACGTCCTGGGCTTCACGCCTACCTCTGTCCTCGCAGGACTGTTTATGTTCATGGGCTACCAGTCGCTATCCGTCAACCCGATCCTCAACAGAATCTGGCACCTCCTCACGCCCATATCGGAACTTCCTGCTTTGCCCCAGGGCGCGTCCTGGCTGGGCATTCACATGTATACCATCTCGCAGATCATCCTCACCGGCATCGTTTTTGGAGTCACATTGACCGTCGCAGCCCCAGGGTTCCCCATCATCATCATCATCTTGGTCCCTGTCAGGCTGTTCCTGATGAACAAAGTATGGAATCGGGAGACATTGAGATACGTCGACGGGTGGGCGACAAGAGAAGGAAAGCCGGAGGACAACGAGAACGACCGCAGGCGGGAGGCCGTCATCGCCTCGCGCGAGTCAGCTAGACGAGTGTCCGACGAGGAGAAGGGTACGAAATCTGCGTGAAATAACTGCAAAGATACAGCTAGAATGCACAAAGAGCCGGCAATACAAAACCACTCCATTCAATTGCAGAAGTTCATCACAAATGTCACCTCGCTGCATGAAGAAACCCCGGTCCCTGTCCTGCGAGATCTATCCATCTGCGGGGTTCCGTCCCGCTGTCAACCACGTCCGGACCCATTTACCCCCCGCCCCGAGGTCGAAGGGTACCCTTTTTCGGATCAATGTCCGTGATGCATCGGGTGAAGATACCCGCAGCGGCGGCTACCGCGATCAACCTACAATCCGCCTTCGCAGCCTTACCTTGTGAGACATATTGCGCCATGGCGTATTTCAGGGCCGAGATGCCCGGTGGGCGTCGAGGAGCTGTCTCGTCTCACCTGGGCTTGTTGAACTTCTCATCGCACTCGGTTTATCTGTAATTAAGATGTCGTTATCTGTAGCCGGGAAATATGCAGTCATCACTGGCGCAGGATCAGGTAAGTCATCAACTCAGTCGTCACAAGACCAGAAAAGAAAAGGGAAAAAAAGCTCACGCATCACCAAGGTATCAACCTGGCCTTCGCCAAACTCCTTCTCGAGCGCGGCTGCTCCGTCCTCATAGGCGACCTCGCCCTCCGCCCCGAGGCATCCTCCCTCGTCTCCCAGTACTCCCCCCAGTCCTCATCAGACAGCAGCCGTCCGGCAGCCCACTTCCAGCAGACCAACGTCGCCTCCTGGCCGCAGCTCTCCCGCCTATGGGACACGGCGCTCGCCACCTTCCCATGCGTCGACATCGTCGTGCCCGGGGCGGGCATCTTCGAGCCGGCGTGGAGCTCCTTCTGGCACGCGCCCAAGACGGCATCGAACCCGGACACTAAGTCGCGCGACGCCGCTGCGGCGGAGCCGGGCACGTACGCGGTCATCGATGTCAACCTGACGCACCCGATCCGGCTGAGCCAGCTCGCCATCGGGCACTGGACGCAGACGCACCGGCCGGGGTGTCTGGTGCACGTGAGCAGTATCGCGGGGCACGCGTTCGGGTTCGGGACGCCGTTGTATTTTGCGAGCAAGCATGGCTTGCACGCTTTTGTGAGGAGTCTAGGGGAGATGAGGGATCGGGTTGGGATTAGGTGCAGCGCTGTCGCGCCTGGGGCCGTCATGGTATGACTCTACATGTTTTGTCTTTTCTGTTCGATAGTTGCTAACGTCATGCAGACCCCAATGTGGCGGGAGGACCCCGACAAGAAGCATATGGCCGAGGAGAAGGAAGACGCGAAGCTGTTCACGGAGCCCGAGGAGATTGCTCGGGGCATGCTTGAGCTTTGCGAGAACCCTGAGTACGGGAATGGAACCATCCTGGAGGTTGTCAAGGGAAGGAAGCGGGTTGTGCCGTTTTACCACGCCGAACCGCCACAGGGTGACGGAGTCTTCATACCAAAGTACAAGGAGGGCGCGGAGAAGCTCTGGGACGGGTTGGAAAGCGGCGGGTTGAAGGTCTGATGGATGGCATGAAGTGAAATGGCGGGGCCGAGTTCGAAGAATGAAGAGCATTGTGTAGAGACTGGCTCTATCTCGTGTACCGCAGCGAATACTTTTTCTTTGAGCTTACTCATTCTCTATTATAAAAATCGTCGTTGTAATTATTGTCATGACTGTCGTCGTCGTCGTCGTCACTATTGGTCTTATTATCGTTGCTTCTACCTACTAACGTCTCTAGTCGTATCATAACATTATGCTCGTCATTGCGTAGGTAGGAGAGATAGCCGTGTAAACACCGAAATACTAGGCGGGCTCGTTATTTGTTATGTGCTCTTGATCCTCATGGCATTTAGACTATGTTGTGTTTTGAAAGATTGAATTACAAAACCTATCTTGAAGAGAATGCATGCCTCTTGCTTAAAATCCAGCCCCCAATTCGTCTTGGCGAAGGATCCGGTTTGCTGACCAAAAACACGAACCAATTCGAACCACACCTTCGTGGTTCGAGCTTCTTGTTGCCTATTCAGGTAAGTGCGAAGCTCAGCAGCGGCAGGTAAGGCGAACGAACCACACCAACAGCTGCGGCCCGACGAACTGAGACATCACCCCCCCAACGCCACGCCAAATGGTGACTCTGCATTTCAGCCCTCGCTTAAATCAAGGCGGCATCCCCCTCACCCAGCTGTTGAAGCTTCTCGTGGTTGTAGCTCCAAGACATGCCTTGTGGAAACATTGTCTTGTGTATATGATGGCGTCTCTTGGAGATCTGATTCACTCGCCAGATGTACAAGACCTGCCAAGACGCCCGCACCTCGAGCTCTTCAACACGGATCCGACGGCATGCGGCGATGCCTCTTTTCACCTCTTCTCTCAGCTTCCCACCGAGCTTCGACTGCTTATATGGCAACATGCTCTGCAGCGAAACCGCCTGCTGAACGTCACGGTTGAAGAGGCGGAAAGCAAAACTGTCGATGAGACTCCAAGATACTCCCTCGTCAACTCCCTGGGCCGCCCCATAACGGGAGACAACTACAGCGTCACAGTCCAAGCCCGGTGCCGTCTCCTCCCGGAACTCATGTCTGTATCCCGCGAATCTCGAGAGGCCGCCAGAGCATTCTACCCCGTCAGCCTCCCCTGCCACCTCAAATCCGCCGCCGGAACCCAAAAGACGGCCCTCCTTCTTAACCTCTCCTACGACTACCTCCAAATATCATCCGGCCCCTCCTGGAAAGCCACCATCGACTTCCTCCACGACCTCCGCGCCCACGACCCCTCAGGCACCGGCCTCCAGCACCTCGTCCTCGACGACGCCGACTCCGACCCCACACCGCTCAAACCGACCGACATCGACACCACCGCCCTCGCCGCGTTCCGCGCCACCGTCAAAGGCCTCAAGAGCATCTGGTTCCGAAACGTCACCCCGGCCGGCCGCGGCCTCGACGTGCTGACCTTCCGAACCGCCCACGTCTTCAACTACGGCTACCCCGTCGTTCCCTCCTTCACCTTCTTCGACGCGCCCCGCCGGGACCCGCGCAACATCTCGCGGGACCTGGAGAAGGTGTGGGCCGGGATTCACGACCCGCGCGGGAAGCCGCTGGCCTGGCGCCGGCTCCTCCGCAGCCTCGATGTCGATCCCGAGCGTGATCTCGACCCGGCGGCCGACGTGCGCGTCATGGTCAGCGCGCACAGGGAGGATAAAGTGCGCAGCCGTGAGGAGGCAAGGCGGTGTCTTCATGAGGAGGACTTTGAGTGGTTGAGGCTGCAGTGGTGGTTTCACGGGTGGGCGGACGGGCCGGATTGGGGCCGCGGATGCCCGCCGACGGGATGCTTTGGGACTCCGTCAGGGCTCATGGCGTGCGTGCCTCGCTTCGACGGTCCGGAGGTGCTGGCTGCGGCGCCGAGGCCGGCGTTGGGGTTTTGGCTGTTTCCTGTGGGTGCGTTTGGAGAGTTGAGGGAGGATGAGGATCCGGACGGGTGGTTGAAGATAAAGGGGCTATTTGACCTGAAGGGTTCCTGGCCTGATCTTGCGCTGGCACACATATCATGATGTTTTGGATTTGTCCTTCATTTTTGCGGGTAAGATATGCGCGGAGACCAAGCTGCGGTAGAATATTAGAGAAAGGTGACAGCTTTTCACCGGTTCTGGTTCTTTATGGTACAGTTCTTGACTTTGGTGATCGACACTTGCCAAGCCAAAGAGCCGTGACTTCAGTTCAGACGACAATGCCAGGCTTGGCTGGACAACCTCTAGAGCAATCATCCCAAGCTATGAATGAGATTCTCCAAAGTCCAAGACTTCATCTAAAGAAAGCATAGTAAACGGTCCAATCTCAAATGCCAAGCCGTCTTCTTTGCGCTGAGGTGTTCGCACCGCTATGGCTGTCATGTAATCAGGACCCAAGGCTCTCAAACACACATTCGCATCTTCGACCTTGGCTCCCTTGAAGATGATGTCGTGCTCCGTGACGGCGTCTCCTTCGTCCTCAAACTTCTCCGCCGGCAGTGGCGGCTTGAAGTTCTTGAACTGGAGGTCGCCGAGCCACTCTGCAAGCAGCGCCTCGCCCGTCATCTTGACGTACGCCTCCCTCAGACACCAAAGAGCGTAGAAGCATCGCAGTTTGAAATCCATCGAGTCCTCTGCTGAGGCCCCCGGTTTCAACCCCGGCGGGATCGCCGAGAGAACCTGCCACTTGAGGAAGCTCGCCTCAGCAGGCGAGAGCACATCGGCGTGCACGTCCACGAAGCGCGGCCACCCCTCGCTCCTGAGCATGCTGTGGTCTCTGGAGCGACGCTCCGAGGTGCAGACAATGTCAACGCCCACGTCTACCGGTCCATTGGCCGCGTCATAACCGTGGACGGCGAAGAGCGCAACAAGACCGGCTTGGTGGCTCACGTTGAAGCTCAGGGGTTCGGAGCCGTCGGCGGTGCGGAAGACGGGCTTTGTCTTCTCATTGCGGACAGTGTTTGCCGAAGGCCAGGGGACGCCGCAGAAACGACTGATGGCGTAGCGTTTCAGAAGGTGCGAGCCTAGAGACAGCTTCGCGTCGCGAACGTGGTAGTACTTTAGCACAGCTTTGCGCTCGTCGGCGCTGAGGAGGGCGAGAGCTCGGGATGCCTGAGTCGTTTGGTCAGTTTCGTGGTGTTTTCAGGGTTTGCTTCTGCTCTTCCAGGGTTGAAGTGAGGCGAATGGGATATTGCGCCGACTTGCTGGGCGACTATTGGGGTAAAGATCTCGCCTCGGGCGGTTTGATTTGCATGGAGAAGGACGAAACAGACATGGGTGTGTGTGGGTGGTTCACGGGCGGTTCGGTTCGGTGAGGGAGGGTGAGGTTTCTTACTGCTTGTTCGAGGTGCTTCGTTTCAGTGGCCTCTGGATACAGGTGCCGAGTATCCAGGATCCACTGTGTGATAGTCGGGGCCATCTCGATCGGTATTGCTTTCGGTCGTTTCCAACCACGTTTCTCGCACTCGCAGGCTGGGGTTTTGCGATATGTCGTTTTTGCTCTATGTACAATGAGTCCCGCGGCCGAGAGATCTCGAGTGAAGCTCCAGTGGCTGCAGTTCCAGAAACCAAGCCGTCCCAGTCTGGGTCAGACAACCCGACTCAAGATTCACCTCAAACCAGCCGCCGCCGTCACAAGAGGGGACGAAACGTGCCTGCCAAGCAATTCGATTAAGGTTAAGGATTGCCTACAGCCCGTGATTGACACCTTATTGCCCCGCAGGACAGGTGAGAAGAGACGTGAAAGAGACGAGTGGTGCAGCTGCAGCGGTGGCCGAGAGGAGCGTAGAGCCGTTTGGCGACTTGACACAAGAAACAAGCAATTGGACGATGGAGCTCGGAGGGGCTGAAGCGAGAAGGCGAAGAATGCTTGGTCACTGGTGCAGAAACCCCGGGCAGGCCGACAACAGTGATGGATCGATGATTTGCAATCTCAGGTTTCAGACATCAGGCCATTGGGACCTTGGGAGTTGCGAGTCGCTCCTGGTTTCATGGGGTTTGGTTGGGTGGGTGGAAAAGAAGCTGGAAGGGATGAGACGAGAGACTGAGGTGAGAGTGGAAGAGTAAGGTAAGGTGTCGTTGCGCGTGGGTGGAGGAGGGGCACGTTGAGACGTTTCCACCCCTTCCCTCAGGTTCCCGGTCCTCCAGGCGCCCCAAAGTTCCCAACTCAGGTCCAGTGCCACCCAACCTCCAGTTGTGCTGCCGGAACAGGGCGGACCAACGCCCGCTAGCGCCCATTCTTCCAGGTGGGGTGTCACTGGTTCCAGAGGCTCACGACTGCAGATCATACCAGTTGGCGGCTTGGCCCTGTCTTTGCCGCCCCAAACCTTTTCTCGACTTCAACTCCACCTGTGTCTGACATGCCACTCTGAATCCTGTATAAAGCTTCATCAACCGTCCCTCGTTTAGATCTTGTTTCTTTACTCCTCTCCAGCGCAATTCTACTCTCTCTTTCTAGAATTCGCCATGCAGTCGAGTCCACCAGCCAAACACACAGATTCCTGCATTTCCACTACCTCAATCGGCCTCTCCCGTTCCGCCGCCATGTCCGCTACGATCACCACATAACAGACAACCACCACCATGCGCGGCGTCGAGCAGGCCAGGAGTGCCACTCTCTGTTCCACCTGATGTTCCCTTCCACGGAAGAGTAGAGTTGAAGGTGTTGAGCAGGGAAACCTTTTTTTGTTGGATTTTCCTGTCTGGAGGTCGGGGCGCGCCAGCCGGAAGACAGTCGAGGATCACCTTTTTACAACAACTTTTACACCGCTGGATGGATCCGCAGTCACCTGAAGCGTCGATGATCCGTCCGCAGCTGCCACGCGCCGCCCTCGCAAGGGACGGCGCGGAAGGCGCCGGATGACGAGAATTCGCTGGTAGGCCTGCGTGAGCCTGGAAGTGACGACGACTCTCCCCTTGGTCCTTGGACCCGCCCGCCTCGCCTGGATCGGACTCTTCGTGAGTTAGAGGAAGGATTGAGAAGGCGGGACTTTGTCCTGACTCGCCCAACCCCGGATTCTTCGTGAGTTAGGGGTTGTGGTTTGAGAGGGATGGGGATCGAGGGTGTTGAGGCGTATTTCTTACTTTTCTTCTTTTTTTCTTCAAATCAGCCCATCATAACGCCGAGAGTTGGGCAGCCCTATGAAGCGCAGGGGATGGGTTCGTGCACTTGTGTGGATCCGAAACTGCGTGGAGGGTCCCTTGCAGAGTCTGGACCTTTACGTGGTGCGGGGGATTACGATGCTCGGAAGCATCAACCAACCAGACTATGTTGAATGGAAAGGGGAGGAAAGGGAACTTGGATGGTATTGGGATGGCCTTGAGAATCGATCAAAGATCTGGGGTGTAGGGAGGGGGAGACGTCGAGGTGGTGGATGGGGCAAGCTATGGCTTGTGCAACTGTTTACAATAATACAATGATTTTCTCTCACCTCGATTGGTTCAAACGTTCGATTGATGACCTACAATTTACTTACCGCTTCCGAAAGAATAAGGAAATAATTGGCACAGTGGTCGAGAAGCTGACAACGTGCCTCGTGTGGTTTGGACTGGTTCCCAGGCAAGCTGGTCCTCTCGTACACGTCAACCCTAAATCAGCGCTTTTTCCCGTGTATACAATATGACTGTATAGCTTTTGTCGAGTGTGCAGCTATTTCTCATTACACTTGATGTCTTTGTACATGTCTATTGGCGCGTTTAGATAAACGGGAGTCTGTAGCTATTAAAGGACAACCGTCCCGATAATTCGGCTCCCTATGCAACCCAGTAGACCGGCGTCTCGACAGTCGTTGCTCATTCAAGCGTGATATCCAACAAGTTCGTACTTGTGTATCGAGCCACTACACCCACCGCTTTTTGCCGCTTCTCCAACCCGGCATGTACACGGGCATTTCAATCCAAAGGTTGAGTCGGGATGTCGCGGCGCCTGTCCTCAGGATGTAATCGTACACTGGCTGCGAGATCATTTTGCAAAAACTCCAAGACGCCAACCGATGCCTCGCTCTTCAGGTCATACGCATAGTCTGTACAGTATCTCGTGATATCCACCTCTTCAAGCTTTCTTCACAGTATTCTGTTGGATCACTTCTTTTGCGCCTCAGCCTGCTCGGCCCGGTACTTCTCGTTCTCCACCTCCCTCCAGTCCTTGGGCATGGGCTCGTTGCCGTCCGTCTCGCCCCTGCCACCAGCGAAGGCCGGCCGTCCGGCGTACAACTGGTAGCCCTTGCCCGACTCGGCTTCGTTCATGGTCTTGTAGTTGACGGGCATGTTGCCGCGGAAGCGCTTGCGCATGTCGACCATGCCGCGTTTGCACTCGCCGAAGCCCTTCTTGAGCTGCTGGCACTTTGTCGGGAGGGTGTTGACGAGGGGTTCGCGGAGGCAGTCGGAGGCGCTGTTCTGGTGGACCATGACGCAGTCGGATTCCTGGAGGCATTGCGCGAGAGCCGCGCCTGTGGGCATTTAATCAGTTGAGTGTCCATGCGAGTGGTTCTTGGGAGGGGAGTTGGGACGCACGCAATTCTTTGCAGGAGCTGGGCATGGTGACGGCGGTCTGGGGGTATTTCCGTTGGTGGACAGGCAGGCGGTGGTAGGTGGTTCGACGTGAAGCCTCAGCGTACAGTACCGACTCTAAGGTTTGCGAAGCATCAAACAATTAGAGAAAAAAACGGCCACTGTGATTGGATGAGATGAGACCCACTCGGATGCAGCGGTTCCAGCGTCCTTTCACAGCGTTCTCGCGAGTCTGCAAGGTGCGAGCACAGAGACAACCCCCAGGGCAGCGTGAGGAGAGGCCGCTAAGGTTGGCTTAGTGCCATGTCCCTGCAGTCCTTCAGGTCCTCAGGTTCCCGCTTTTCAGGGATCCAGGCCCGTCGACCAACCGCGTCGCTCGCGCGGGCACCCCCTTCCCCACCTCATGCCCCTTCCAATTGTGGCACCCTTGCCCCGAAGAGAGCTGCCATGACGGCGGTTGGTGCTGCGTTGGCACGTTGTGACAGCGCAACAGGACCCGGGGCCGGTGACCACTGACCTCCCGAACCTCTGACCTTGAATCTGGGACTGGGAGCTTGACCTTTTCCCTTTCGAGAGCTCTCCCTCAGATGCATCTTCACATGTGACATCACTTCGCGCCCGTCCACTTCCACTTTCGTACGCTGACACACGACACACAGCAGCTTCGAGCACATCTTTTTCCCTCACGAGCCCAGTTGATCGCCATCCGCAAAGCTACAACCAGCCGCCCACAGCCCTCCCCTCTTGTCTCCGACCTTAAGTTAAGCTTCGCGCCCCTTTGGAGACTAGAGTGATGATGCCTTGAGAGCTTCCCCTAGCTGCTCGTTTCTTTGCTTTTCTTTCCCACCAAAAAAACCTTAGACATATCGTTCCTGGCCTGCGCCGCCAGCCTCTTATCGCATATTACACCGCATTCTCTGTTCCACACGATGCCTATCCCTTTCATCGGCCGGCTAAACATGTAAGGGTGCCCAATTGCCCTGATCCATCCTCTCCCTCCCTTCCTGAAATCCCGCCCCTCAAACTGCAACGCTTTGAACCCTTGCGATGTTGCAGTCAGTGCGATCCAGACTGGTGCTGATGGAGTCGCGCAGCGTCGAGTATGTGGCTTTGGTGGGGTCTTTTCTGCTGGTAGGACTCGAGGCTATCATCCGCGTCCTGACCTTGGCTCTACGTGAGGCAAAATGCGCTTCCCCTCGTGGCGTCCAGAGCTAGCTAGCTAACCCAGGAGCTCCTCCCAGCCTCGCCGCTCATCTCGCTCTTCTATGTGGCTTCCCGTCGACTGTTTAACCGATTCTCGACGCCGGCGCATAAACGCGCAGAACAGCGCAAGAAGTGTTGGTTCATCCCCCGCCACAGCTGACGTTTTCCTGTGGTTTCGAACTGCGCTGACTCGCGTGGTGCGCAGCCATCTCGACCAATGTGAGGGACGCCTCCGACTTTGTTGATCTCTGCCGGTTATACGGGTACGAGGCCGAGGAGCACGTCACGCAGACCAAGGATGGCTTCCTGTTGGGTCTCCACCGCCTGGCTTGGAGGAAGGGCGAGGAGGGCCAAAGGATCAACTGCGGCCCAGGCAGCGTGCAGAAGAAAGTCGTATATCTGCACCACGGGCTTCTCATGAACTCGGAGGTCTGGGTCTGCTTGACCGACGAGCAGAGATGTCTTCCGTTCGTGCTTGTCGAGAAGGGCTACGATGTTTGGGTACACTTACCAACCCGTGTTGATTTGGCGTAATACTGACGTTGACACAGCTCGGCAACAATCGCGGTAACAAGTACTCAAAGAAGTCGGTTTCTCACTCGCCCAAGTCTCTCGAGTTCTGGAATTTCTCCATTGACGAGTTCGCCTTCCATGACATTCCCGACAGCATCGCTTACATCCTCGAGGCCACCGGCCAGGAGAGTCTGTCATACATTGGCTTCTCCCAGGGAACCGCTCAGGCTTTTGCTACCTTGGCCATCCACCCCAAGCTGAACCAGCAGGTCAACGTTTTCATCGCCTTGGCGCCAGCAATGTCTCCTGCCGGTCTTTCCAACGGTATCGTAGACGCACTAGTCAAGGCGTCGCCGCAAGTTCTGTTCCTCCTCTTCGGTCGTCGATCGATTCTCAGCTCCGCCACCATGTGGCAGTCCATTCTTTACCCGCCGATTTTCGTTCGAGCAATCGACGTCGGTCTTTCCTTTTTGTTCAACTGGCAGACGAAGAACATCTCTCTCAGCCAGAAACTCGCGGCTTACCCCCATCTATACTCGTTCACCAGCACAAAGAGTGTGGTCCACTGGTTCCAGATCATCCGCAACAAGTCCTTCCAGATGTACGACGACGACGTCCACCCTCCCGTGTCCATTAGCTCGTCCAGCAAGTATACCAAGGTCGCCAAGTACCCGACTCGCAACATCAAGACCCCTATTGTGCTTGTCTACGGCGGCAGCGACTCCCTCGTCGACATCAAGGTCATGCTCAAAGAACTTCCGAGTCAGACTGTAGCCACCGAGATCCCCCACTACGAGCACCTCGACTTCCTTTGGGGCCGCGACGTCGATGCCCAAGTCTTCCCGCACGTTTTTGATGCCCTCGACAGCTTCACCGACGCACTTCACTCCAAGGAGGAATACGCCCGCTACCAGCTCGCAAGACAGGAGAGCCTCCTCGGCTCCGGCAACGCGTACCGCCACGCCCATAAAGACAGCGACGTCTCCGCCAGCGACACGTCGAACGCGGTGGATGAAATCCAGCCCAGAAACGGTACGGACAGCCCGCTTTCATACAAGTCTCGAGACCGACCGTCCGGGATCCCCTCGCCTTTCGGGACGACCCGCACGAATAGCAATATGAGAACTCCGTATTCGCAGGTCGCCGCTAACGACGACGATGTACCTTCTTCACCAGACAGACCTGACAGCCGCGCTACGAACCCCGACGACAAGGAGGACGGCAGCTTGCTGAAGCCCACCCGCGAGTCGCCAACGGCGAAGCTCAAGGGCATCGGCGTGAGGAGGGGCAGCGGGGGCAGCAGCCTGAGCTTGGATAGCATGCGCGAGGGCAAAGGGATCAGTCTGGGCACGAGCAAGGCCCTCGGGGGCGTCGTGACGAAGAGCGGGATCGATGCCAAGGGGCTGGGTAATGCGGGTGTGGAGGAGGTTAAGGGCGGGAAGAAGAAAAAGCGTGTCACCGTGGCGCCGTAGTATTGAGGTGCCTAGTTAAAGAAAAGGCGGAGACAAAATTGGAATACAGGACACTCTGGAATAAAAGTTTATTTACCACTGAAATGGAGCTAGCGAGCAAGAGGATATTGACGACTGGCCTATGAAAGATAGCGTCCGTCATTTGAGGCATCGCACGCCTCCACTAGTGTTGATGAGGGAAATCGCCTAACTTGTGGTTGCAGCATAAGTTGGAGTGTATTTTCAGTCTACACTGCACTTTGGTGCAGCTATTTTCTCGCTCACCGGGTTCGATATGTGCATGCGCAGCATCCCTCGTGGCTTCTCTTCAATGTTCCTTGCTCATCAGCTGTGCTGGGTATATGAGGCGGTAGTCTTGAGGAGTTTGGACCGACTTCGAGATGCTTGATTGCCATGAAATTAACTGCCTTCATGGACAAGGGCAAGGTAAGAGATCATACTGGTCGACGAGACGTCTGTCCATTCATACTATAAATATACAAGAGACCGCCTATTTTTCCTGTGTCTGGACGGCTACATTTCCTGTGTAATTCATTGAAGATATTGCGAACGACGACAATGTTAACGATAACGGCGACAGTGACAACGACGACGATAGTTGAAGGACCAGAGGAGCCGACCCCCAAGTCTCAATTGCATGCTTGATATCGAAGAGACTCATCAAAATCAACCGGTCGTATGAGTGTATTGTCGTTGAATAAGTGAAATACGAAATTAGACAGATAGACTCGGAGAGGGCGACTTTTCTGAGTCCTATCCAGCTGGTTACATTTTCTTTTGGTTTGGGGATGTCATACTATTGTCAACTTCATGAGAGCTTCGCTTTGACGACATAAGCTCATCCGCACCGAGTTTTAGTCGATGCTCGACAGGCTGACGAAGGAGCGTTTCCAGAGACACACCCTCCCCTCCATGTAATAAAAGGACTGTGCTACTATGCTGAATGGCATCATTCCTGGCGACAAGTGTTCTTTCCACTCCAAGGACGTACCATAAGCTTATAAGTGGATTTCTCGGCCCGGTCTGGTGCAGCCTGTATTGATGTAGGCGTTTTTCCGTACACTGCCGATCGCCTCCGCGTGGTGGTGACTGCCCTGCTGGATATGCCGTGAGCCAAGACGATGCATGGATCTGCAGCCTCACGGAGTATTATTCACAATCCCCTCATAGACTCACGAGGCGTTTAAGACGACCAATATGGAGCATCGACAGCGTATGATCCTCAAAATAAGCTCGGGTGTGGGTGAGAGTGGTTCGTCTCATCATCCTTGCCGTGAACTACCGGCACATACTTCAAACTCTATCCCCTTAACCTTGGATGGCAGCAACACCCAATATGACTTTCGCATCGCAAAGAACCGTATGTATTTGAGGAGAATCTCATGGAGATTACGACTCATGTGATCGCAAGACACGGCAGCCATCGTGATATCTGATATCATCACACCCCGATCTTGATGATGTGAATGATCAACGAAAACCAGATCGTTTGCTGAATTGGAATTTCAACACCAATTGAGGCGGTCTTTCTACGGCGATACATGCAGCCAGCCAATCGTGCGGTAGCCTCCGAGCCACTGGATCACGAAATTGCCAAATATACTTTGCTAGTATCTTGAATAACCGTAGAGGTACGACTTCCCTGATCGAGAACCTGACCCCTGGAAGGGCACCTCTTGCTATACGCAGCACATAAAAGTCCGTTTCTCCATTCCCAGAGTCCCCCTTCCCCCATAAAGATTATGCTTCTTGTCGCTGGTGAACTCTCCCGTCCTAAAGTTGTTGATGATCTCTCATCAGGATCAAGAGGTTAAACTGAACTCCGTCCAACACCCCTCCTCCGTCCAGTGCCAAGTCTCATCTTCACAGTCGTCTCAGCTCCCCGTTGCTTCTCTGCCATCACCAAAGATCACCAGCCAAGCCGGCAAACACCACAGCCAGCCCCAATATCAAGATGGAGCAATTTACTTTCAACGGTGCGCTCTCGGGACCCTTAACCATACTTGGACCAAACAGCTGATTCTCGCGTAAATCCAGACTACATTAACATGTACGTATGTTATTACAACCCGAAACTCCACATGTGCTTGGACGTTCCCTCGTATTACATGTACAAGCTCGACCTCGCGGCCAACGTCGCCTTCACCGGCATCTTCGGCCTCTACTTCGTCGCCTACACGGCGATATGGGCCGCCACCCGGCGCGGCCACATCTTCAACATCGCCTTCCTGTGCGGCCTCACGGCCGAGATCCTGGGCTACGCGGCGCGCATCGTCAGCTTCAGTAACCAGTGGCGCACCTGGCCGTTCATGACGCAGATCTGCGCCCTGACCGTCGGCCCGGCGTTCCTCGCCGCCGGCATCTACGTCTGCCTCCGCCGCATCGTCCGCGTCTTCGGCGTCTCCCACTCCCGCATCCGCCCCCAGCTCTACACCCGCATCTTCATCCCCTGCGACATGGTCGCCCTTGTCCTCCAGGCCGTCGGCGGCGGCTTCGCCGCCTACGCCACCTACCACGCAGCGTCCACCCAGAAGGGCGACAACATCATGATGGCCGGCCTCATCTCCCAGGTCATCACCATGGCCATCTTCATGCTCGTCTCGACCGACTTTGCCATCCGCGCCTGGCGCAGCAACAGCAGCGGTGACAGCTCGCCCCTGGCCTCCTCACCAGAGGAAGACGCCGAGGCCGCGAAGCTGGGCCACCTGCGTTCGTCGTGGAAGTTCCGCGGTTTCCTGGTCGCCCTGGCGCTGGCGACAATTTGCATCTTCTGGCGCTGCGTGTTCCGCGTCGCCGAGCTGAGCGGCGGCTGGACCGGCCCCTTGATGCACCGCCAGGACCTCTTCATCGGGTTTGAGAGCGTCATGATCGTCGTCGCCGTCGGCGGGCTCATCATCTTCCACCCCGGGTTCTGTGACAGCGAGCTGCTGGACGACAAGCCTGCGCCGCCCAAGACTGAGCCCGTCCTCGGGGGAGGGTACTCTAGCGATGGGCACAGCAGGCACGAGGTCGTGCAGGTCAAAGCCTGATGGATGCGAGAGATAGAAACGTTGCATTCTGCTTTAGTTTCCATATGTAGCGTTGGATGTTTGACAACGTCGTTGGATTCTCTTCTCCTTTTTTTTATTTTTCCATCTTCCTTCTTCCTTTCTCACCCTTTTCTTTTCTCTTTCTTTCCCTTTTTTTTTTTTTTTTTTTTTTTTTGTTTTTGGCCATTCTAGACCTCAAATGTTTTCGTCAGTCATACGGCAGTCAAAAAGGTGTGCCCGCAGGCGGTAACCTGCTATACGAAAGCACGAAAAACATCAAAAGGGAAGATCGAATGTGGTTGATTTTCTGCGTGATAGAAGTTGTTAGCAATCCGGAGTTTTGGAGCACATCAATCAAATGTTTGTAGTGAGATGGGCGACCTTAATACAAACCCGATATGATAACATGCAGCACACTTTGATATTACCTGGCACATGCTTTCATAGGAGACATCATTGAATTGTCTACGGACGACCCCTGAAGGGCTAACAGCTCTTTCGATGGCAGCCCCATTTAGGCTTCACCACCACTCAATATCTTGACACGCAGAGTGCGTCATTGCCACTCTGGCCATTATTTTTTTGCCTACTTGCCATTTTTCCACTGTACCGACGCCTCATGCCTGATATCCTCAGGCCGAATCACTTGTAAAAGTAACGCAAAGAGGGGTATCGTGCAAACGCCGCCCAAAGCCCTTCCCAGACGGCATTCAAGCCTCTGTAGGGGGACATGCGGGGTATGTAAAAGATGAAGAAAGGAAACAGAAGTGCTTGCTTGATTGCAAAAGGAATGGGGGAGAAAACCAGCGACTAGTGCAAGTGCTGGTGAAGGGGATTACGGGAAATTGAAGCGGCCTATGCAGGCTCCTGTGCTTCTGTCAACTAAAGTGACACATTGCCCAATGGCAAGATCTTGGATGGATCGCCGTTGAAGCTTTTGTGGTACTCGACGATGCCCCTAGCGATGCTGGGGAAGTCTCTGATGTTCTTGGCTCTCATGTCTTGCAGGACCTTGCGCAATCCGTCGTTGAAATGGTTCCTTTCGTCTCCGTCAAGTTTGGTGCCGCCAAGCTGGAGGAGAATCTGGTCGTCTAAAACGTTGGGGGCGACCGTCAGCGTTCAACATGCTTCGAGACATGTGTCGAGGTCAGTTATCCTTGCGGGGCGATGGCGACCTACCCGGCAACTTCATGGTCTCGAAGTGCTGGTAAATGCAGTCAGCACCTCGTGGGCATTCCCGGCTGGCCAGTTGGTCTGGGCAGACGGGTTGTTGCGGATCGATCCTGTTGCTATACGTGAGAGACCGAAGTCCACCAGCGACTGTCTCAGCAAACTTGGGGTGGTATCGATAAGCACGAAAGTATTGTAGTGGGCTCTCGTAAGGGGTGAAGACATCTCCGGAGGGCATCTCATCAGCGCTCTGTGTTGGTTGAGAGGCCTGTGATATTGATTAGAAACCACCGAGTGTTGATGGCGCGAAACGAAATGTACTTCTCTCGTAGCTTCAACTCCCTGCTCCGGAGTTGATTCGTTGACACCTAACGAGATCTGTTCAGGGATTTGTGAGGCTCGTGAACTTGGCTCCTGTGGGTCAGCATCACTATTAGCCAGCGAGACGGTGCTGCCTGCTGGCACTGGGCTGGTTGATGGAGATCCGGCGTCATTTGGAGGGGCAACTGCCTCGGATGGCTCATAGGCGTCCGACGAGCACTCTTGGTCTCCATCTTGAATATGCTCTTCATGTTGGGAACTCGAATCTGACGATTCCCCCATGACGACATCAGAAGGACCATCACTTGAACTTGAGACCGGCCGTGACTCCTGAACTGCATTGGTGCTTGTCACCGGATTGACGGGTGCCTCAATGGGCGCGGGCACTGCCTGGACTGTGGCATCAGGGACATCAGGGGGGTTCGTCGCAGCTTTACCAGTAGCAGCAACATCGGCTTGTGCCGCGATGGAAGAATCTTCAATGCTTTGCGCAACAGGGGGCTGGGGCTTGGGGGCTTCTATGCTGGAAAGGGCCGAAGTGACCGCGCTCGAAGCCAATACTGCGGTGTCAGCGGCAGGGACATCAGCCTGCACATCGGACTGAGGCCCGACAAGGGTCTGTGTAGCAACAGGATCCACTGAATATAAGTTAATGAATGTTGTCTGAGTATCTGTCAACGAATTCATAGCGTTTACTAACCAGAGTTGCTCTTGGGCAGGCTTTGAGGATCGCCGGACTCGTCGGAGTCTTGGTTGAGCTGTTCCATCTCCTGGGTCAACTTCTCCTTCTCAGCGCCCTCTTCTTCAATCTCCTTCTGTAACCGAGCGATTTGAGACTGCAGAAGACGCAATTTGCTCTTCTTTGCCTTTAATCTGCCCTCAACGAGTGGGAGACTGGTGCTGACTTCTCTGAACTTCTGGGCGCGAACGGAAGCAGCCTCGGCCCTCCTCTCGGATGGCTTTGGCAGACGCATCGAGCTGCCCGCTTCGGCAACCACCGGCGAAGACGGGGCGTTGGGGTTGGGCTGATCAGATGCACTGGACGCACCCATGGATTGCACTCGTCTGATGGCAGGTTTGCTTCCATCCGAGTCCGCAGTGGCGTCTGGCGTTTGTCCGTTAGACTTGAGGCCAGATGCTTGGCCACTCATAGCAGCCTTCAGCTTGGCCTTAGCCTCGGCCAATGCGATCTTGCGCTTCATAGCTTCTATCTTTTTATCCATATTTTCAAGATGACCTGCTTTCGGCTGGGCTGCGATGATTCCCGACTGAGGTGTCGTAACGTTACTGGGCACAGGGCTGACTTGGGGTCGCCCGTCTGTCAGTGGCGGAAAGTTGCGAAACGATGCTGTCTTTTGCAGTGGAGTGTTCGCCTGTTGGAAGCTAGAAGACTCCTCTGTTGGAGAAGTAATCTCCATCTCAATATCTTCGTCGTCCGAGGCGTCGCTAACGTCGATTACAAAAGGCTTGTCTTGGCGCTGATGACCAAAGGGGCGCTTGTTTGCCTGTGAGCTTGCGACAAAGTCAGCAGCCACTGGTCGTTTCCGCTGGTTGCTTGCTGCTGCTTGAGGCGTCGACATAAATAGGCCGGGAATTGTGGTTGCAGGCGCAGCTGTGGGCAAAGGATACTGTCCTTGGGGCAAGCTAGACTGAGGAGACTGGGCTGCTGCAGGGACAGTCGAAGTGCCATTTGTTGCTGAGGAAGGTCTAGTAGCAGCCGGTGATGTGTTTGCAGACTGCACAGTTTGTACGCTGTTCTTGCGCACAGCATCTTTCTGAGCGCGTGCCTCGCGGGACTTTTGGAGGGCGTCCATCTTTTGCTGCTGAACGGCTTCCTTGTCGGTCATTCCAGAAGCTTGTGCAGCCTTTGCCTCAGCACTGGCTGCGGTGGACGATGAAGGGGCGGCCTTTGCGTTCTTTGCGGCCAAGAGACGAGCGATCCGGTCCTTTCTCTCCTCCCCAGCTGACTTGGCTGTTGAAGCTGGTGCTTGTTCCTGTACACCAGGCTTCACAGCTGCTACAGATGCCTGTCCTCCAGGAGCCTTGAAGCTTGCTTGGGAAGGTGAATGAGAAGTGGTCATTGCCGGAGGAGCAGAGACCCCTGAGCCGCCGGCTTGGTTGGGGGTACTGGCATCCAAGCCCAGCTCAGAAAACAAGTTCCTGACGACTGTTGCATCGATGCCTTCGTCGACATACTGCTGGTAGCGAACGTTCATGGGCCAAAGATTGAGGATGGCTGCTCGGGCCTGCTTTCGGGCATCCTCGAGACCTAATGGAGCAGTCGCAGATGAGCTCGACTGAACTGCTTGGCCGTTTGACAGCTGCGCTTGCTGGGAAATTTGGCGATGTCCGTTGTTGACGTTGAGGGGAGGATTCATTTCGCGGGGAGATAGATAGGGGGAGTAGGAGCCTGATCGATCCCGAGCTGCGTTACAGTCAGACATTGCCCAGGAGTTTCCGTGAGGTGAGGTCTGCTCACCAGCTGCATCGAAAGCAGCAGGGCTTTGCGCCCGCTTGTGCTCTGGACCTTGGGCCCACGTAGGGGCAGCATTTCCATTACCGGTACGGTTCTTGGCGGTCGTCGCTGAGGAAGAGGCAACGGCCGGCCGACGGGGGCTGGTGTCCATGATGGTGTCTGCGGGCTCGTACAAATCGTCGAATTCGCCCTCGCTAAGCTCCCCCTCTTCAGTGCTGTTAGTGCTGTTATGCGATTGCTTTGGGGCAGGCTGCGGGGCCCCTCGAGTGGATGCCAGAGCTCGAGCCTTGGATGCCTCCATGGTCACACTTTTCGGTCGGTAGTACTGCGCAGCGGGAATGAGCTTGGGTTCGTCGCGCGAAGGCCACTGCTGGTGCTGGTACTGGGGCAGCGCTTGCGCTAACGATGCTGCCTCGGGTGCTGGAGGTGGTTGTATCGGTTGCTGCCAGCCGAATGTCTGGGTTGGTTGACCGTAGCCCAGTCCGGGTATCATATGCTGCGACTGGTCGTAGGTATCGCGAAAATGGGGTTGAGCATCGAACGCGTTGTTCGGGGCGGGCGGGGGATAGGGTTGCGCGGGAAAGGGAGGTGCCGTCGGATACGCGTAGGGCTGGGGAGGAGGCTGCCCCGGGTACGGCGAGTACCCGTATGGATAGTAGTTGTTCATGGTCGAAAGGCGAAGGAAGGCGCGACTGTGACTCTGACCGGGACTGAGTTTGCCTGTGACGGGAATGGCTGTCTGACGGAAAAGTCAAAGGAGCAACGATGCCTCAGAACGACGGTAGGAGCAGGCGCGACCCGTAATCAAAGCCCGGCGTTTGCTATCGTTAAGTGCAAGCCACAATATTATCGAGTCGGCGGCGAAAGCTGTCTTGTGGAGGCGACGGCAGGTAGGATGAATCTGGAAAGGTAGATCGAGTCTGTGGTCAAGAACAGAAAGCGCATAGTAGTTCGCAGGGAGAGAGATGGAGAAGGTCCCAAGGCGGTCAAGGCTGGTTGTTCGTCGTTGGTTGGCTGCCAAGATGGCAAGAATATTTCACGGGCGCTTGAGCGAGCGCGGAATAGCAACCGTCATGCAATTTGGATTGCAGGCACTGCGCACTGGTGCGAAACAAGACGAGACAATGTCCGGATGAAGACAAGTTCCGAAGGCGTCAGTCAGTCCAGAAGGGAGAGAGGAGAAAAAAAAACGATGCAGATATCGTGGTGTTTCTTACCGTCCCGCTGAAGAGGAAAAGGTTTCCTGGAAGCGGCGTGGGCGAGGGCTGTGGAACGAAGTGTCTTTGATGGCCCGCAATGCGACAAACGAGGTTGGTCCGTTGGAGTTGGGCACCTCAAGTTTTCGAAATATTCTCCCCCCCGGGCTCCTCCAAGGGCAGTAAAAAAAAAAAGGCACTTGGCACCTGCACCCAAGCAAACGGAACAAAAATCACGACCGTGCAGGGAAGAGAGGCCTTCGATTCGTGCTATCCCCTTTCGGGCTAGACTGACTTGAGACGGTCTCGCGTCACACCCAACCTGACGCCTGTCCCCCCATCATCCCCCCCATTGTTTACTTCGCAGGCGTACCCCAAGCAACGGTCCTCCTGAATCCCTGCTCAGATGGTCTAAAGTCAACAATATCCATCCTTACGTCGCTCTTCTTCCTCCACCTCCCAGCCTCCTCAAGCTTGCCTTGATTTCGTTCGTCTTTTCACCAAAGACTATAGGTCCCCCGAGGTTGCGACCCGGCGACTTCTTTCGTCTTGTTTTCTTTGAGAGTTTGTCGCCTTTGTTGCACTTCGCCGCTTTGTTACTGTCTTAATGTTTACTCCATGAGCCGGATTACCTACGAGCGACGTTTTTGCGACGAACGACACGAAATCGACACGACACCCCGAGCCCTGAGGGCTTCTCTCTTCTTACCAATTGCTTCCCCCGAGCGCTGCAATCATGGCGCAACCACGCAATAACCCTTTCGCGAGGACATCGCCGGGTCCAAGCAACGGCCGGCCGAAATCCGCAGTCTTCTCCTCGCCATCCCCGCTATCTGCCGTATCGACTCCCACGTCGCACGTCAGGAACCTCTCCCAAGCCTCAGCAGCCCCCGCGGCGCCTGCAACCGCACCTGCACCTACACCTGCACCTACAACTACACCCGCGCCTGCACCTGCGCCTGTGTTTCTTCCAGGCGCGGGCCACATCCGTCACAACCGTTCCGACTCAAGGAACAGCGGCTCTGGAACCTTTGCGCCCTCCTTCATCAAGACGGAGGAGATGCGCAGAGGCTCTGACACAGTGAGGGGCATAGAGGGCGAAAATGACTTCTCTGGAAAGCGATACGTGTGGCTTAAAGACCCCCAGGTCGCCTTTGTTAGAGGCTGGGTTGTCGAAGATTTGGCAGACAACAGGATACTCGTCCAGTGCGATGATGGCACAGTAAGTAGGCCGCACTCGTGTGCTTGAGTGGCAACTGACACCCGGTTCGCAGCAACGAGAAGTCGACGCCGAGAGCGTTGACAAGGTCAATCCCGCCAAGTTCGACAAGGCAAACGATATGGCCGAGTTGACACATCTGAACGAGGCATCCGTCGTCCACAACCTGCACATGAGATACCAGGCCGACCTGATCTACACCTACTCCGGCCTCTTCTTGGTCACAGTCAATCCCTACTGCCCACTGCCCATATACACGAACGAGTACATCAACATGTACAAGGGGAGGAGCAGGGAAGATACCAAGCCTCACATTTACGCCATGGCGGACCAGGCTTTCCGCAATCTGGTGGACGAGGGTGAGAACCAAAGCATTCTCGTCACCGGTGAGTCCGGTGCGGGTAAAACAGAGAACACGAAGAAGGTCATCCAGTATCTTGCAGCAGTAGCGCATTCCGAATCGCCGGTCAAGAACAAGTCACAACAGTCAAATCTTTCTCAACAAATCCTGCGTGCCAACCCGATCCTCGAAGCCTTCGGAAACGCCCAAACAGTGCGAAACAACAACTCCTCGCGATTCGGAAAATTCATTCGTATCGAGTTCAACAAGGCCGGTGCCATTTCGGGCGCATTCATTGACTGGTACCTCCTGGAGAAGTCTCGTGTTGTGCGAATCAACAGCCATGAGAGAAACTACCACGTCTTCTACCAACTGCTCAAGGGAGCTGACAGAAAGATGAAGTCCGAGTTCCTGCTTGACGGTCTTGACGTCGAAGACTTCGCATACACCCGTGCCGGCCATGACACAATCGTTGGAGTCTCTGACCGCGACGAATGGGACTCTTTGATGGAGGCCTTCCATATCATGGGTTTCTCAGACAAGGACCAGAGCTCCATTCTTCGCACCATCGCAGCCGTGCTCCATCTCGGAAACGTAACCGTTGTGAAGGAAAGCCGCGCCGCAGACCAGGCCAGATTAGCGCCCGATGCCAAGGAACAGGCCGCCAAGGTTTGCAAGCTTCTCGGAGTTCCTCTTGAGCCGTTCCTGCAAGGCCTTCTTCATCCCAGAGTCAAAGCTGGCCGTGAATGGGTTGAGAAGGTCCAGACCCCAGAACAAGTCCGTCTCGGATTGGATGCTCTGTCCAAGGGTATCTATGAAAGAGGGTTCGGCGACCTTGTCACCCGCATCAATCGCCAGCTGGATAGAACGGGGATGGGCCTGGACGATTCCCGCTTTATCGGCGTGCTGGATATCGCCGGTTTCGAGATCTTTGAGCAGAACAGCTTCGAGCAGCTTTGCATCAACTATACCAACGAGAAGCTCCAACAATTCTTCAACCATCACATGTTCGTGCTTGAACAGGAAGAATACGCTAGAGAACAGATTGAGTGGCAGTTCATCGACTTTGGGCGCGATCTGCAACCGACGATCGATCTGATCGAGCTCTCCAACCCTATTGGTATCTTCTCTTGCCTGGACGAAGACTGTGTCATGCCCAAGGCTACGGACAAGTCTTTCACCGAGAAGCTCAACTCATTGTGGGACAAGAAGTCAAACAAGTACCGGCACTCAAGACTCGGACAGGGTTTTATCCTGACGCATTACGCCGCCGAAGTCGAGTATTCCACCGATGGTTGGCTGGAGAAGAACAAAGACCCGCTGAACGATAACATCACTCGCCTCCTTGCTTCTTCCACCGACAAGCATATCGCCGACCTGTTTGCTGACTGTGCCGACATGGATGATGACCTCGGGGCTAGCCGCAACAGAGTCAAGAAGGGGCTGTTCCGCACCGTCGCCCAGCGCCACAAAGAGCAGCTTCACAGTCTCATGGCCCAACTGCACTCTACCCACCCTCACTTCGTCCGTTGCATCCTGCCCAACCACAAGAAGAAGCCCAAGCAGTTCAATAAGCTGCTTGTTCTCGACCAGCTGCGATGCAATGGTGTTCTCGAGGGTATCCGCATTGCTCGAACTGGATTCCCCAACAGATTGCCCTTTGCCGAGTTCCGGCAGCGTTACGAGGTTCTCTGCAGAGACATGCCCAAGGGCTATCAAGAAGGCCAGGCTGTAGCGGCAATGATGCTTGACAAGCTTGGCCTTGACAAGGGACTGTATCGGGTGGGTCTTACGAAGGTCTTCTTCAGAGCAGGTGTCTTGGCCGAGTTAGAAGAGCAACGCGACGCTCTAATCACCGAGATTATGGCACGATTCCAGTCAGTTGCTCGCGGCTACATCCAGCGTCGCAGTGCCTACAAGAGGCTGTTCCGCACGGAAGCCACTCGGATTATCCAGAAAAACTTCAACGTTTATCTCGACCTCATGGAGAACCCTTGGTGGCAGCTCATGGCGAAGATGAAGCCTCTGCTCGGCGCTACAAGAAGCGCAACTGAAGTGAAAAAGAGGGACGCAATGATCCGCCAGCTGCAAGACAAGATGCACCAGGAAGCCAACGACCGCCAGAAGCTCGAAGAGGAGAGACGGAACGTTCACAACGAGATGGTCCGTATCCAACAGACGCTGGAGAGCGAACGTGCTCTTGCCCTGGATAAGGAGGAAATCTTCAAGCGTTTGCAACTCCGGGAAACCGAGCTGGAAGAGAAGCTCTCTGGCGCTATTGATGACCAAGAGAGGCTAGAAGACCAGCTTGATGACTTACTGGAAGCCAAGAAGCGGGCCGAGCAGGATGTCGAGAAGTACCGTGCCCAGCTGGAACAAGCCGCTCTTCTCATTGCGAGACTCGAACAGGAGAAGTCAGACCTTTCTGCACAAACGGAGGAGCTGGAGCGCTCCATCGAGGAGATCTCCAAGAAGCAATCTGAGCGCAGCGAGCAGGAGAAACGTTTGGAGGGTGAGATCAAGATGCTTCAAAGCCAGCTCAGCCTCAAGGATCGCAAAGCGCGAGACTTGGAGGATAAGCTTCTGAAAATCGATCAGGATCTCGAAGTCAAGTTGCGAACAGCGCAGAAAGAACTGCAAACATCAAAGTCAAGAGAGTCGCAGCTTGCCCTCGAAAATCGCCAAGTCCAGCAGCAGTTGTCCGAGCTCTCCAAGACCTCAACAGATTACGAAGATCTTATCACCAAGAAGGAGAGCGAGCTTGCCCTTCTTCGAGGAGACAACAAGAAGTACGAGATGGAGCGACGAACATTCGAGGACCAGAAGAAGACTCTTGCTGCGGAAAAGGAGACTGCCTCTTCTAAGCTGCGTGATGTTCAAGCCGAGCTCACTGCCATCAAGTCACAGCAATC